ATTGTTTCAGTTCTTCCAGTTTCCTGTAATTTAATACTAATGGTCTTTATCTGATGATCAGCCCTTAAGTTTGTTCTGGATAATCAAATGTTGATTGCTTTTTATAATCAACACCCGTGGCTTCTGTGGTTTTACGCCTGAAAGTTCCTTTTAAGAGTTGGTTACCATGAAGAAAACTAAGAGAAAAGGCTGTTGTTGGTTTTTTTTTTTAAATGTATGGCTTTCATTGATGACCAAAATGTTTCAGTGTATTTTTTTTTTAATCTGAAAGATAAAACCTCACTTTTTTTAATCCAAGCGGAACGTTCATTTTTATTCCGACTTTCCATTTTTCTTTCCCAGCTGCTGTCACCCAAACAAGCCAGGTGTGCAAAGCCTGTTAGTCCTCCCAAAAGCAAACTAACTAAATTTAAAATTTCCTGAACTTGCTCATGTTGTGGGCGTGATAACCTTGATGAACCCAAATGTTCCTTTCCTCGTCCTTTTTTTTTTCTTGGGGTGAAAATTGTAGAAAAAGGTAGCATGGACTTACAAACTTTGCTTAAGCTGGATGTTATGTAACTTTTCTGGTTCACCCAAAATAACAATTAATTTCAAAGCACAAAGAAAGCTTGCATAGAGTGTAAGTGAGGCAATGAAAGGTGGCAACTTTTATTCCTTAGCAAGTGGGACAGAGACATCATGTTATGCCAGTTCTCTGAGTCAATCATCCTTTTTTTTTCTTTTTTTTTTCTTTTTCCAGGCACACTTTAAATTGCTCTGGCTTTATTTCAAGGTTTTGTGTAACTCTCTATTCATCTCACAGCAGTGCTGTAGAATGGCTGTCCCAAGGAGTTTGGTCAACTTTGGGGACTGGAGGTGCTGTACAAATATGAGATGGGAAGACCCAAGTTGCAGGAGGTCTTAATTTGCTATCCATGTAACTAGGGATTTTCCTCATATTCCACTTACTGCAGGACAAACGTGCCCTGCTACAGGTAGTCCTCAACTTACGACCACAACTGAGAGCAGAATTTCTTTTGCTAAGTGAGTCACATTTTTACAGCCTTTTTTTTTTGACATGGTTCTTAAGTGAATCCCTGTAGTTGTTACACGCCTGTTAAGTGAATCCAGCTTCCCCCACTGCGTTTGCTTGTCAGTAGCTGGCTGGGAAGTTTTTCCTCTCCCGCATCATATCCAAACTTACTTCTCTGGAAGGCACCTCCTCCCTCCTGGGCATTCAGCTCCTTACTACATTTTGTCACAACATTTGAAAGTTGCCAAGTTTGAGATACACCATCCTAGAGCACGTGGTTGGTGAGATGGCCAGGTCTGCTCCGCTCCAATTGGTCATGCTCAATTCCTGAAGTAACACAACTGAAGGAACTGGGTATGTCTACTCTAATGAAAAGAAGGACTAGGGGTGACATGATAGCAGTGTTCCAATATCTAAGGGGCTGCTCTAAAGAAGAGGGAGTCAACCTATTCTCCAAAGCACCTGAAGGCAGGACAAGAAGCAATGGATAGAAACTAACCAAGGAGAGAAGCAACCTAGAACTACATTTAGACAAGAAAAACCAAATGCACAGGTATAGTATAGAGGGTACCTTGCTCA